GGGCGATCGGGGCGTCCCGGGGCGGCGCCTCCCTTCCATCACCAGCCGGACGGTGGCCGTTCCCCGGGCTGCCCTCCTTCCTCCGGGTGCGCGGGGGCAACAAAGAGCAGGAGGAATCTCCTGGGAGCATCCTCTGGCCTGGCCTAGCCTGGCCTGCGCGGGGAGGATGCCGTTCGCCATTAAAACACAAACCTGTTTCCTCCCCTTGCAAGTAGAAAAGGCTAGCTGCCTGCCCCCCCCCACACCTTTGATGTGCTAGCTTTCTACATGAGGGGATTTGGTGCTTGAGCTTAGGGTACCATGCAGCATGTGTGTCAGAGTTTCATTTTCCCTGCCTACCGTCTGGGGAGATGCTGTCTGCGCCTGAGCTGTATCCTCTTCTAAGTAGACCCTTCTGACAGAGGCAGGGGGTGCCGTGTTTGATTGAGGGATCGGGTTTTCAGGATACGTTACTGAAAACCATGGAGTGAACCGCTTACCCCGGACAAGCCAACTGCTAACGTGATGCTCGAAACGGCCCTGTTGCAACCATCACCCCCCCCCCCGCTCGCTNNCAAGTGCAGGCGAGGGTGAGGATTCACTCCTGTCTCTTGGTGGCACATGGACATATCCTATCTGGTGGCACCAAAGCTGGGGAAGTGCACGTGGGCGCACAAACTCAATCAGTCCACTCAGAGTTTCCTGTGGAAGGCCTTTTGCAAAGTCAACGGGACTGAATTGCCCACCAGAAAACACTGGCGTTGCCACGGGACTACGTAATTCACACCATCCTAAGGTTTCTGGTGGAACTCACTCCCAGCCCCAGCGACTCGCGAGGGTTTCAGCTAAAGCTCAGAGGGGGGAAATGACATCTGAATGGCGTGACAGATGAGGGCAGAGTTCCTGATCTCCCTCAAACTGTGCCAGCTTTAGAGTTCTCCAGAAATTCTCATCAAGCTAAGTACGGTAGCTGCTTGGACGCGTGGCTCTCGGGCTTGCCTGCAAATCTGAAAGAAGGACTCCAGTGTTAGCTGGAATAGGCCCCTTGAAGCTCCTGAGTGGGCAAGGAGCCCAAGGAGAGCGAATTCTCCACCACCTCCCGCAGAAGGGAAGCTAGAGAGCAAATTATTACGTGCGATGCTCAGGCGTGGGGGGGGGGAGGTTGGCACACTCACTGGCGAGGTCATTCTACTCAGATGGCCCTGAGTTAGGTAACAATAATTGGCTGGGAAAGGACTTCAAAGGTCTCCCCTCTGCAGCCATCCTGCTGATCAGCCGGTTTGGCATCACTGAGCATCTGGGTCTGTTTGACTGGCTCCGCGTGAAGTCCAGGGGCCAAATGGATATACTGTATATACAG